GTTGAGTTGAGCCTGCTGCAGCGCCGCAATGAGGAGAGTCCCATCATGCACATCCGCTACTGCAAAATCCTCATCCAAGAGTTCCATGTCAAGGTTGACCTGACATTTATCAACAGTCTCCTCTCAGTTCTCCTAGATGATAAGCGGAGTAAGCGTGACGAGGTATGACCTTACATGACCTTGGATGATTTTCCACCTGAAATCTTGAGCAGTTACACTGAGTTATTTTTCATCACTGGTATAGTTTGGGAAGGACATGGAAGACATGGTGAAGCCAGCTGAGGAACTGCTGGCCCTGCAGGGGTCATCTCAAGTCAAGATCTTCTTTGACCTTCTCCACTTCTCTCCACTCAAGATGCATCTGAGTTTTAGTCTTTCTGGAGCTGCACAACATGGTGAGGGTCTAGCTGTTCTCTACTCAGGTGTCATCAATCTTCTCCTACAGGGTGTTGGAATCACCCTCACTGATGTGCAAGATGTCGTCTTTAGGTGAGCCCTGAGTATTCTTCTATTTCTTCATTGGAATAGCATCCTTGAAGGCATAAATCATGTGGCATTCTCAATTCCAGTGGTATACAGATGTCTCTGATAATTTTCTCTTTTAGTCAGCATTAATCCTCTAAATAACCTTGGTTCAGCTTCCATACTGTAATATATGGGATGGAGAAGTTGTTATCCTTCTTTGAATTGTTTAGTCACACTTCACCAGAGAGTGCAGAGAAAGCTGGCAATGCGAACACACTCTTCATGGTTCTGTGGAATGTAATTTCAACTGCAATGAGCCTCTTTCCTAAGTTTTACTGAACAAAAGACATGAGGGTGATCCTTTCATTAATAAAATTTATTAATAATACATCCTTACCTCCTCATAAATCTAGTCTAACTGACTCATTTTAATAGAAAAAGCAGTGTCAGTGAAGTAAAAAATCCCATAAACAGAACCATTCACAGGTCTTCATGGGTATGCTTTGATGGGTTCTTCTAGATTGGCCTATTTTGAGCGGCAGAGTCGATTCATCAATCCGACACAGCTGTCTCAGGAGGTCTTCTCCCACTACCTTGGTCAGTTCATGAAACAGCTCTATGTCCTGGTCCTTGGGTTGGATGTCATTGGGAATCCATTCGCCCTGGTTACGGGTCTCACCCAGGGGGTTGAGGCTCTCTTCTATGAACCCTTCCAAGTCAGTCTTTGCTTTCCATCTACATTTCAAGAATTTTATTCACTAAAACTGAATCTTAGCCATTGACAGGAAAATTTTAAAATGCTGATATGCAATTAACAGTGCAACTTATTTTAGAGTGTTTAGACAGTGATGTAATCATCATTGCTGGTGTATGTTCTTTTTGCTAGTTCATGAATTTGAGCCTTACAGGTAGAATCCATACTATATTATGGTTGTGCTACTTTAATTGATTCATTCTTTGCATTTATTTGAGATTCCTTTCTATGGTGTTCTAAAACTAATATGGAAGTTTCACTGCAGTTTTTGCATGAAATGAATAAATGCATATCTCATCACCTTTGGTACCCCATTATTCCTTTCCAATGAGAACAAATTTGAATGTATTACCAATAACTTTGTATTTCTTCATACATGTCATCAGAAAAATTTGTGCCACTGTGGAAGATTGGTTCAAGTGCTTGTTGTCTTCTCTCCAGGGAGCAATCCAGGGCCCTGAAGAGTTTGCTGAGGGTTTGATACTAGGAGTGCAGCGAATGGTTGGTCACACAGTGGGAGGAGCTGCTGGAGCTGTGAGTCGCATCACTGGGACATTTGGCAAGGGTCTTGCTGCACTCTCTCTTGACAAGGAATTCCAGAAGGAAAGACTGGAGCAGCAGCAGCGTCAGCGCCACCATGCCACCATCGCAGCTGGCATGGCCCACAATATCCAGGGTTTTGGCAGGGTTTGTTTTCTGCCTACTCTTCTCATCCTCACATTGCAAAACCTGAAGCCAATGGGCAGTAAACACATAATTTGTGGCTTTGTAACAGTGAAGCAATCCATAATGTAGGACACTTTGGATACCGATATTGATATTACAAACTACCCTGTCCTGTAATGTGTTTCTTTTAGCTGATGCTGAGCATTAGGCAGGATACCCTACCCTGAAGTAGACTCTCACAGTGGCATTGCAGCTATAGCCACTCTGATCAGGTTTTGATCAATTGAAGCTTTAAATATAGAACAAACACTCTAGTTTCATATATATTGATAGTATTAAGTCTGGTTGATTGTTACTAGTTGGATGGCTTTTGATTGCTACAATTACAATTAGTGCAATACAGAAAGCATCAGTACAATATGTCTCACCTGCTTTCAATGTTATCTTTTTAAAATAATCATAGTTGAAAGGAAAGGAAAAATAGGTAGGCCAACAATGTCAAAGTCGGGTCTTTGATGTTTTGCATGAACTGAAACCCTGAAGCTCAAAGTATGCTGAAGTCTTTTCAGCCTAATTTATGTTCCTTTATCTGTTGGACTCAGGGTGTGTTTGAGGGTGTGACAGGGGTTTTCACAAAACCAATGGAAGGTGCTCGGTCAGAGGGCATTGGAGGATTCTTCAAAGGAATGGGGAAAGGTGTGGTGGGCCTGGTGACCCGACCTACCACAGGCCTGGTGGACTTTGCTTCGGGGAGCTTTGATGTCATCAAGAGGTCTTTACTTGCATACATCTCTGCTGGTCTCCAGTTGTATTTGTTAGGTTTTCACTTTTATTACTTGTGTTTGTCTTGCCATTTCAGGGCATCTGAGGCTCGTCTTCGTTAATGGGCAGAGTCCGGGGGGTCCAAGGAGGTAGGGCTACCACAGTAAGCTGGGATACAAGCGAAACTCCGAAGACCTTCGGTAGAGAAGTACCATACTACAAAAACTATAAAACAATCAGTATTTCCTAATTGGAAACTAAGATTATGGATTTGTCTGACGTTTTAATGCCGTGGCTTCCCAAAGGACACTATGCCAGATATGGGTTTAAATTGCCATGGAGTACCAGGTAGCAGAGGAGTATCAGGAAAAATAACTGTGTACAGGTAGTCCACTCCTCTTCAAATGCATTGATGTCCCAAAAACTAGAGGGATAAAGTTACTTTAACCCATTCACTACATATATGATGAGTTAACATATCATGCTCTGACTCCCATTGTGTGCTAGCTTGATGTGTTAACTTGTCATAGAGTCATGAATTTCTTATGTCTCTCAGCATCAGCATCTGGTTTGATTGATGTCCACATAGCATACATGGACCTTCTGCCATCTCATGGATTTTTTGTAAAATTTTTAAGGAAAGAGTACATGAGGTATAACAATTTTGTAAGACAACATTCCATGGATATTAGTTTTCAAAGATGGCATCTACCAGTAGGCAAGACANAGGAAAAATAGGTAGGCCAACAATGTCAAAGTCAGGTCTTTGATGTTTCGCATGAACTGAAACCCTGAAGCTCAAAGTATGCTGAAGTCTTTTTCAGCCTAATTTATGTTCCTTTATCTGTTGGACTCAGGGTGTGTTTGAGGGTGTGACAGGGGTTTTCACAAAACCAATGGAAGGTGCTCGGTCAGAGGGCATTGGAGGATTCTTCAAAGGAATGGGGAAAGGTGTGGTGGGCCTGGTGACCCGACCTACCACAGGCCTGGTGGACTTTGCTTCGGGGAGCTTTGATGTCATCAAGAGGTCTTTACTTGCATACATCTCTGCTGGTCTCCAGTTGTATTTGTTAGGTTTTCACTTTTATTACTTGTGTTTGTCTTGCCATTTCAGGGCATCTGAGGGAGCAGAAGCAATTACCCGTCTCAGGCCCCCCAGGTTCCTCCATCCCGATGGTGTCATTCGACCCTATGTTCGCTTTGAGGCTTCTGGAAGCCATCTCTTCATGGTATGATGTTTTTGATATTTTGTGTCAGTATTTCCTAATTGGAAACTAAGATTATGGATTTGTCTGATGTTTTAATGCCGTGGCTTCCCAAAGGACACTATGCCAGATATGGGTTTAAATCGCCATGGAGTACCAGGTAGCAGAGGAGTATCAGGAAAAATAACTGTGTACAGGTAGTCCACTCCTCTTCAAATGCATTGATGTCCCGAAAACTAGAGGGATAAAGTTACTTTAACCCATTCACTACATATATGATGAGTTAACACATCATGCTCTGACTCCCATTGTGTGCTAGCTTGATGTGTTAACTTGTCATAGAGTCATGAATTTCTTATGTCTCTCAGCATCAGCATCTGGTTTGATTGATGTCCACATAACATACATCTTCCTTCTGCCATCTCATGGATTTTTTGTAAAATTTTTAAGGAAAGAGTACATGAGGTATAACAATTTTGTAAGACAACATTCCATGGATATTAGTTTTCAAAGATGGCATCTACCAGTAGGCAAGACATGAATTCATTAAGTGAAAAAGATGTGAAAATTGAATTGCCTGACAGTTATTATGAAGACAAAATTACTGATCATGAGGAGAGATCATTGTATCTGGTGATAGTAGGGAAAGTGAGGATGGTATTGACAGAGTCAAATTTATTTAGTAAAACATGTAGGCCTACTGCTACTTTTCAATTGGCTCAACCATATGGTAGTACTGCAGAAACTGATGTGAGGGAAGATATAATGGAGGATGTTGCTGCATCTCATAAAAGAACAAGGTTTTTTTGGGGGGGATTTCCTGTATTGCATGGTGTAAATACCTTACTTTTGAGCAGTGGTAAATTGAGTTAAAGCAAAGGAAGAGCCCCAGTACAGCAAGGGTGGCTAGCTGCTTGATACTTTGTAGTGAAAGGGTTAGGCCCCTAACTACCATTCTGGGTCCAATGGTCCCTGAGACAAACATTTAGCCATATCTGTAGGCTCCCTGTGAACTTGAAGAGTCCAATACTTGGTGTATTTTCATGAAAACATGATAGTAATTAGGCGAAGTATTTTGAAGAGATGAAACAAAGATTTTCACACATGACCATCCGGGTTATTTATGGTTTAAACATGGAAATAAGGTCCTTTAGTGAATGTAACAGGTACTGACAGCCATTGCATCTTAATGCAGGAGATTGAGAAAGGGAAGTACACATCGACAGATATGTATATCTGCCACGTGCCAGCACGAGCAGATGGGAAGCAGGTGGCCATCGTCACCGACCAACGGGTCATGATGATTCAGCGCAGCGACATCTTTGGCCAGTGGGAAGTGCAGTGGGCTCACACATGGGGGGACTTGATCAAACCTCCAGCACTGGTCGACAAGGGGATTGAGCTGCTTATCAAGTCAGGGAAGAGCGGAAAGAAGGTGCTTGGCTTGTTCTCATCTTCAGGAGATGTCACCAGGCTCATCACCATCCCAAATCGCCACACTGCACAGTGGATCCTCGCCAAGATGGAGGATGCAAGATGCTCTTCAGCCTCCTAGTCTTCCCTGACAACATTCCTTCTTGCAGTTTTTGCTTAATTAATCATTTTTGTAAATTTTTTTCATGGTGTTAATCCACCTTGATTGATCCCTTGTGCCTTGGTACTTTGGTGATCCATTCTTTATGCTCTCTCTTCAGGTCGCACACAGTGAATGTATGGATATCAGGGCTGTTAAAAATATGGTTTTCTATGGAAGCTTAATTCTGTGATGTAATTGCCATGTCTTAATTCTTTGTGATGTAGTAGCTAGTCTTTGGCTAAATGCTGAAACAGAGAGAGAATATTTGGAATGAATTGCTTGCCGTTGTTTTGTCGTGTTTCATTTGAGAAAATGGCACCATAATATACACACATGAATTGAATTGAGAGTTACACTGTATGATTGGAATGTCTTTTCTCCATTGTCAGTTGGCTGAAGTACTTCAATTCAATATCAGGTGGAGCGCACTCGCTCTGTAATCTATTAGTGAAGAATCTTCAAAGAAAATGGAGATTTTTTCACTGAGGGTGACTGTAATGTCTACCACTCTGCCCAGCAGGAAGTTTATAAGCAGAGGTTGTCAGTAACATAACGATGGTCAATAATATTCCATCTAAGTTGCATAGTTCCAATTCAGTTCCGAAGTTCTCATCTGCTCCTCCCAAGTCTTCTATTTGCATGGAGTTACTAGGGAAGAACTGGTTTCTGCATGGGAGTTGGTCCCCATGGCTGAACCAGAGGCTCCTCTCGACCCAGGTTTGAAGTCTTCTCGATCGAAAATTGGATCACGTGGGTGAATCCAGAGTGCCTAAGGACAAGTGGGCCTCATTAGGAAACACAGATGCTTTTGTTTAGATATGTTGTGCATCAGCTAGGTGCATCTCTCGGTGGAGGTGACTTTTTTGAATTACATGAAACTCTAGAAAAAAGGAGGACCTCCTCTCCTCATATTCGAATCCTTCGTCGTGGTTCAGAGGTGATGGTGGAGGGAGAATGCCTTGGATGCAACTTCCCATCTTCTCCGCCTTCGCACCTCATACCGTGCAGCTATTTTGGCACGGTGCCGAAGATTCAATTTTTGTACCGTGAAGGGTTACTGCAAACAAACAAATCAGTTAAATCATAAAACCCTATCGAATTCTCTTTCTTTTGACAAAACCATTGGTCTAGTCCAAAAATGACAAAAGTTGTTGCAATTTAAAAATAGGGAATGACTTCCCAAACACCCTGTAGATTCCCAACTATGTCGAATTCCTGAATATTCTGAAGGAATGAAACGGTGACTGTCAGAGTGCTGAATGAGAGAAAAGACGAAGCAAGCTTTTATTTCCTCTGATGATGAATTCAGTAAAACGGAATGACTGGAAATCAGTGGCGTAGGGAAGGGAGGGGGGTTTAGGGGGTTAGAACTAGGGCTTGGGCTTCCTGGTCGGTGACACTGACAGGCATATTCACCCTTCCTTGGGAATTTCAATTTTAGCTTCGAAGAAAGTCCGATGTCCGTCCACAGACCCAAGATGCCAGACCGCGTGATTTATTTGAAAAGGAAAATTCTGGGTAGTGGAGCTAGCCTCAAACCCCCCCCCCCCTTGTCGATTTCCTGCCTGCGCCACTGCTATTAATGAAGTCTTAAAAAGTCGCACTTGGTCCACGGTCCTGAAAGAAACAGGGAGTTCTAAATGTGATGACCGTGAACATGTAGGTATCGCATTCGAAACTGGACGTTTTTGTGCCACGTCATGCAAGTAATCACTCACTTCACGATCTGAGTAGGAAGAGACAATTTCATGAATGCATTTTTTCTTTGATTCTTCATTTTTCATTCCATTCTGTCGCATATGCGATTATCTCTTGAAAAGATGGAGAGCATTTCATTCTATCCTTGGTCTTACCTTTCATCTGCGAAGGAGATATAGAAGAAATAGATGAATTTAGATATAAGAGGAAGGGCATACGCGTCTCCCGTCATCTTTAACCCTTTTAACACGGAACGAATTTGGCTACTATAGCCTATATCACGGAAGCTGCAATTGGACAAACAAAAGCGCAAGAAACATTGGGTCGGTCGGAAAGTTCTTGCAGTTTCAGACTATTTGAGAAAACATTTTTATTCAGCAGCTATACGATATCAGTGAACGATGTAAGCACCACTGTGCTCCACTACATTTCTCCATCTTCCAGACAGGGGGGAATGGATTCCGCCGCGGTCGAACGATGGGGGTCTGAGACTCGAACTGTCACAAGTAGCATTCGAGGCCCTTCCGTCCGTGGAACTTTTTCTCCTCGAGGCGGTTCTGCAGGGCGCGGAAAAGGTCGTAGTCCGACGGAGCAAGGTCCGGGGAGTACGGTGGGTGCGGGGTAAGCTCCCATCCGAGGGCGAGAAGTTTCAGCCTGGTCGTCTTTGCGGCATGCGGCCGGGCATCGTCGTGGAGGAACGGCACTTTGTCGCGTCTCGGCCGAGCCGTCGAGAGTTTCTGGCTCGATTTCTCCAGTCGGTCGCAGTAGTAGGCCGCCGTGATGGTGGTGTCGGGAGGAAGCAGCTCGAACGTCACGACACCGTTCACGTAAGGGTGAACGACATCTGACAATGATATAAGCTGTTGAAGTTGTATAGATTCTTTTGAATCGTCCTGTAAAATGCGCAGAGAATGAATGGAAGGTCGCTATGGAGTCCCCAGGTTTCGGCGAATGAAAGAATTAACAAAATTTTGGAAGTTAGATGGTCGAGTGCCTTATCCGTCTGTCTCATCGCATTTAATGATTGCTAATATTTTGCAACCTACCACGTTATCCACACGCATGGAAAGGGTGAAGATCTCGAAGACATCAACAGGCCTGACACTCTTATTTGCTGTTCGCACGACTTCGATTGCTTGATCAATGCCTGCATCTGCTTCATTGACGCAACGTAAATGATGTTGCGAATAAAGCGACAGCACCCTTCATCCGGACAGTGGTTAATCTTCGTGTTTTCATCGAATCATGTTAAACTACGTTGAGGAGGTGCAAGCGATGCGGACGGAAACGCTGAAGATGGTTGCATAAAATGGTCTGCAACCGTTTTGCGCGACTGTATGACCGCGGTAAAAAAAAAATTGTGCCTACCCAACGGGACTACATTCACGAACATCATATCCTTGTTCCTCATGCTTAAGAGATACTGGTATTGCCAGAACAAATGTCTGTGAATCGAAACTTTTCGACTGGCCCTTGTATTATCGTCTCTGGCAGTATAACCGGTTCGTTGATTTTTGTGTAAGATATGCTATTACATCTCCGGTTTAATATGATTGACATTCAATGACAGGAATAATATGAACTAATAAGGCGTTTGGTTCCCATATTAAAAATTGATAAAGTACCGTAAGGGATTCGAAATGCAGACTACTGGATCACAGGACCCTGCTTACTTCCATTGCGCCACAACGATTCCCACCTATTATAATTGACCTTCCATGTGAAACACATGATTAGCGAGAGAAAAAAAATCCCCCGACTCGGGTCCGTATCTAGCGGGAAATATCCGATTAACACATTGGTGACGGGCCCCGAGAAATCTCGTAGTACGCTCGCGAGCGGTTGGTGACCAATGTGTTAAAAAAAGCATAAATCTGCCCATTTGCATGCCAAAACATCTCTACTATGAGACTGGATAGCAGATAAAAAATTGTTTAGGGGCATTTCCTGATGTCGCATGGCGCAAAGCAATAGTCCTTTACCCTTTTCCCTGTTGGCAATCACCAGACCCTCGAGCGCTAGGCAGGTTCTTGCATCCCTTTCTACGGTAAACGTTGGCCTCGACTCTCTTGAGTGTAATAAAGACGCCTCTACGCGATGTCTGACGAAGATTCACAGTGCAGCTTGTCTTGGAGTACAATTTTAGTTGGCATATACACTTGTAGTTTTTCACAGAAAAAAAACAGCCGACTGCGATCCATTCTATCTACATGGGATGCAGTAGATATCCCACAAATCGTACAAATTGACCTCCAGAGCAATTTTGTCTTAGAACCACGTGAGTACTTATATCCCTGATGCCCAAGAAATGGAAATGAAATGCATAAATGCCGTCTATGGGTACGGTGAAAATCCCACTGCTCGAATTCTTCGCGTTGCCTATGTTCACCTGGGTTCACAGAGGACGGCCTCCAAGCGCCCTTCTTTGGTGTTGATCAGGTAATAACCCGTGTGAGTGTTTCCAGCTTTGCGAAGAGACGAGCAGGACTCCGCTGGGTTGTCCGGAAACGCAGCCTTGCAGACCACTCTGCCCAAAGTGTGATTCGCCTATTGGGCGTCAAACTGCGTGATGAGTAGTGCTGTTCCGTTGGTGATCGCTCCTGCGTCCAATTCCCACTGGGGGGTTTCTGCATCACAGTTGTAGGGGAAATCCGGGTCTATGCATTCCATGGAGTCGTCGGTGAGACCGCAGCTGCAAACGTGCTCCTCATCTCAGTAATACTGAGGTTCGCCGTGACGGTCCATCCACCATGCACATTCTGTATTGCTGGCTCTCAATGGCGCCGAAAAGTAGTCATACTGCAAGTGAAAGCGCTCCATGGAAGTCCCAATCGCTGACAGTTACCCTAAATTCTTACTAATGAAATACCATTTTAGAAGAATACTGAACGGTTGAGCGCAATTTAAGGAAAAGTAGGGTTAACGGAGGTTCAATTTACACCCCCCTTCCCTCCCCCAAGAATGGCAGATGATTTCAATTTCATCCAAGAAGAGAACATTAAATAACGTACATTATTCCAAACGAGTTTATATCAAAATGAAATGGTTAATGGTGATTTTTTTAAAAAGATGTTGAAGTTATATAGATTCGTTTGAACCGTCCTGTAAAATGCGCAGAGAATGAATGGAAGCTTGCTACGGAGTCCCCAGGTTTCGGCGCATGAAACGAATGACACACATTTTGGGAGTTAGATGGATAAGACTTGACCATCTATCTCATCGTATTTAATGATTGTTAGTATTTTGGAACATACCACGTTTTTATCCACATGCATGGAAAGGGTGAAGATCTCGAAGACATCAACAGGCCCGACTCATTCTTATTTGCTGTTCCGCATGACTTCGATTGCTCGAGCAATGCCTGCATCTGCTTCATTGACACATCGTAAATGATGTTGCGAATAAAGCGTCCTTCATCGGACAGTGGTCAATCTCCGTGTTTTCCATCGAATCGTGTTAAACTACGTTGAGGAGGTGCAAGCGATGCGGACGGAAGCGCTGAAGATGGTTGCATAAGTGATCAAAACAACACTGACCAAAAGAAAGGATAGTGGGGCAGGGATAGTCTTTGGGTCCCACCAAGTATGCCA